TGTTCTAGGAATTTCTAAAAAGCTCTGATGACATTTAGATTGCTGCCATCATGCTTTGTATGGACGTCGAATTTGTATGCTAATTGAAGCCCTTGCAGACATTTGGCACAGTGGTGTACAAAGTTGCTGAAGATGAAAAAGACAGCGGACTATCATAAATGTCAGCTGAATTTTGAGAGGCCGTGAACAATTGAAGTTAGCCTACTCTAGAGTCTAATCCATCTTCGATGAAAAATATAAAAATATCTCTCATTTAATGTAACCTAGGTAGCCTAGTTTAAGAGGACAGGGGGAAAAAAGTTTCCATTCCATTGCTTTTTTTTTTGCCACATGGTTCCTTTTTGAGAGGCAATTTGTCTCCATCTGTCTGCATGGCCTGCGCAGGTGCGTCGCGCACGTTGCAGTTTTGTCATGTTTTTCTTCTAATTTTGTATTGACCGTTTGGTGAAAATGTGGATGCACTTCAGCAGAACAACCTACCAACAACTAAATTAAATAGTTTTAGCCTACTTTGCACACAACAATTCAAAAATAAATGTTAGCCTAACCAAATCATTTTTGTGACAAACATTGTTCAAATGTTCAACTGTTCTCCAGTTGAAGTCAAAGATATGCAGTTTAAACAAGAAGGCCATGACCATGCCACCCAGGTAGCTGACAGGTAAGACTACCCCTCATTCTATAGTAGCCAATAGGCTACATGTTTTTGCCAGTGAGTGTGTAGCCTAAATTATGATATTTCTGTTATAAAAATGTTTTTGTTTTAGCATAACATTTACAGTAGTGAATCCATACATTTTCATACTTGTCCCCCATGGGAATCAAACCCACAACCCTGGTGTTGCAAGCACCATGCTCTACCAAGTGAGCCACGTAAGACTTCGATATTCAGTTATAGAGAAGCATCTCTATAATATCTAATGTGCATCCCAATGGTATTTTAAAGGCAGGGCCGTTGTACCCTCATGTTGATGTTCCACTAAGTTAGTGTAACCTACAACTATTGGAGTCATTCTGGGGCTTTTGAAAAGGTCACAGTATAGGCAGCATTAAGCCTTCAGTTGTGTGTGCTATGTTGAATTTGTTGTTTTGTTTAGCTGACCCAGTCATTGTGCAGTCCAGTCAGGTGCTCCTTCCCCCTTGTAGTCTACACACACAATGATCTAGGCCTGAATTATTTTTAGTGGCCACCGAAGACATCCTCTTTTTGCGCTCCACAAAACGATATTAAACACATCACCTTGCTGCCATCAAAAGAGCCTGAGGGAGCTGCACTAAATTACACTGAAAGGACTGTTTTGTTTTCACTCTGTAGCTGTAAGTCGCTCTGGATAAGAGCGTCTGCTAAATGACTAAAATGTAAAATGTAAAAATGTAATACAGTATGTTAGTTTAGGCCTATCTGTTGGTCTGGTGGCTTTGCTGTCACTAACAGGGCCTACCTCTCCTTGGCCATGAGAGGTTTATCAGAGTAGTGACTGGCTAATTGTTTGGGTTTAGAATGATAGATGATTGATAAATATGGGATATCCCATGGTTGGCTTTGTGTTTTGTTATGGCATGCTGTGAAATGTCACTGCCCAGCTGCCATCCATAGTAACTGATTAGAATTGGCTGACTAAGTACGGTATAGAAAATGTACATACTGGTGATGAGTAATGCTGGTCTTGTTTCCCTATTGGGCTATTGAGTACCTGTAATAATGTCAACCCCCCACTCTCTCTCTCTCTCACTCACTCTGTTGAAAGCAAACCTGCCATGATGCATTGTGGCACACAACCACCCACTCTGTTTATGATGATGATGAGTGAAAATCATTCCCATCATGACAATCATTACCAGTTATTATCATTATTATCATCATTATTTTGATGCTTTCAGAGTGAAATGCAGAATGATGTGTTTGTGCCTGTGTGTATGCGAGTCCTAAGACTGGCAGCTCTCATAAGCTTGTATAACACAGGGGAGTGACTGGGATAAAAGCGTGGACTCAGGAGATGTCTCTCTCTCTCTCCCTCCTTGGGAAGGAACACTGTGGTCTGTCCTGTGAAGTACAGCAGGCTTCTACCATCCATGCCTCGGTCTCTGTTTCCAATAGAGATGGAGTGACAGCAGGCAACAGGCTCATGTTTTTCTCTGCCTGTAAACCAGCTGGACCACAGACAGGCAGACAGACAGGCAGACAGGCAGACAGATTCACAGATGGACAGACAGACAGACAGATACACAGATGGTCAGACAGAAAGACAGACAGACAGGCAGGCAGACAGACAGACAGACAGGCAGGCAGGCAGGCAGGCAGGCAGACACAGACAGACAGACAGACAGACAGACAGACAGACAGACAGACAGACAGACAGACAGACAGACAGACAGACAGACAGACAGACAGACAGACAGACAGACAGACAGACAGACAGACAGACAGACAGACAGAGACAGACCAGCATGTTCTTAAAGACCTGGGCACCCTGGCTCTTCCATACATTATTTATCAATCCATCATTAAAAACTATTTTTCTCCTTCCTCCTCTTATTTCTCCCTCCATCTTCCGGCATTTCAGCTCCTCTTCTCTCTCCTCCATCTTTCACAGTCCATTAGCTGCTGTACTCTCTTCCCACTCTCCCCTCAATCTTGGTCCCTCGACTGCAAAGCTCAGGATCTTCCTCTCACTCATAATGCCTGTGGTTCTTTCCCTTGGTGTGTCCCTGACCCTAGCTATAGCGTGCGTGATTTCACCACCGGTGGCTCATGCTTTACCTTGTTCTGTCAGATACCATATTTTTACGCGCAATGAAAATTCATAGCCATATGGATTTTTCTATTTGTAAACTGTTCTTGTGTATGTTGCTGGGCTCTGCCCTAGATCCTGGCTGTGCTGATGTCTGAGAGGTGTATGTTGCCCAGACAACAGAAGAATACATCAATGCTTACAGTGATAAACCTCCTAAAAGGCGGCAAGAATCATAGAGGTAACAGCGATGTCAGGGTTACCAAGGTAACCTTTACTCTCTACATTTCCATCATGTCACCCCCTCCCAGGTTCGTATCACTGTGGACTGACATTGTGTTGCAGCTGCCTGTCCAGAGTAACCTTGCCACAGAGCTATCCCAAGCTGCTCCAGTCACAGGGGGATATTTTCACCTCACCATTTTTCATAAGTATGAAACTGAACTCATAACTTTGTTTTTGTGGTAATCAGTGGAGTGGAAATATGGGCTGACAGAGCATAACACTGGCTGTGATAGTGAGATAATGCCCTCTCTGCATGGGCGAAAGACTGCTGGTACAGTGCACAATCTCCATTTTCTCTCTCTCTCTCTCTCTCCTCTCTCTCTCTCTCTCTCTCTCCTCTCTCTCTCTCTCTCTCTCTCTCTCTCTCTCTCTCTCTCTCTCTCTCTCTCTCTCTCTCTCTCACCAACTCCCCATCCACCCACAATCTCCCTCAGATTGAGTGTGTGGTTGAGGGACCTAGAAAGGATCCCACTCTCACCTAGCCTCCTCTCTCATTACTGGGGAGCGTCTCTCCACCCACCCCCTCCTAGCTCTGGTTCTGAGCTCCACAAGATCAAGTCCCTTGGCTCCCGTTGGTCACCATATCATCTCTCGGTGCGAGAGATGCGCCCCCAGGCCTGTAGCAATGCAGCGCACTGCCTGTGCCTTTAAGAGAGAGAGAGAGAGGGAGAGAGAGAGAGAGAGAGAGAGAGAGAGAGATGTGTGCAATGGAGAGAAAACAGGAGAGAGAGAAAGAGAGAGAGAGCACATTCATCTATCATGAGCAAAATTTTTGTTCATTCTTAGCCGTGTGCTGAGCATCTCTGCACAGGTACACACTCTGTTCTTAGGCACTTATTGCTAAAGAGTACGCCTCTCTCACACACACGCTCACAGCTATCAGAGCGCAGCTGCTGGATCACATCCATCTCGCGAAGGAGGATCCAAGAGAGCAAGAGGCAGACGGAGAGAGAGACAAAGGGAAGGAGGACGGAAGAAGGAGAGGAGCGAATAGGAAGCGGGGACGGTGCGAGGAAGGAGAGACTAAACACTTGTGTGACAAAGAGAACGCGAGGGACAGGAGGGAGGAGAAAAAAAGAGGTGGAACAGGAAACGAGATCACTCTTGGCTCCAGCTGTCCGCGTCGCAGCATGGGCAATGCACCATCCCAAGGCATGTCAGCCCTACTATCTCCATGTATACATATGTAGCAGCTCCTTTTCATTTTGCAATGTGTTTTATTTTCCAATCTGCTGGATGGGAGCTGGTGATGAGGCATTGTGATGCTCTGAACAGATCCAGGCTAATGAGGGGGACAAGGATGCAGGGTGGCTGGGGAAAGGGAGAGGGGATGTGGGGTTGTGGATGAGAGAGATACTGGGAGATGCTGGAGGGATTGGGTGAAGGTTGCAGGATGCATGCATGTGCGGGAGAGACGGGAAATGGGAGGGGGCTTGTGTAGATCTGAGGGAATAGATCTGTCATTACTGAGGCAGGAGATGCTGGTGTGTGTGACTGTTTGTATGTTTGACTGTGTGTGTGTGTGTGAGGTGAACAGAAGGGGGAAATACCGGTATGTGGAGGTGGTGGTGACAGCTGCATCTGTCAGCCTCATGGGAAGCCTCTGGGAAGTGAAGCGCTCCAAGGAGTGTGTGTGAGGGAGAGAGAGGGAGAGAGAGAAAGTAAGATGGAAATGAACGGGTGTGTACAGTCAACTTGTTTGTGTGTGTGAGTGTAAAGGGGGATGGTACTGTTAATGGAGGAGTGGGTGGGTTAGCACTGTTTCCTGCTGGTATGCTTTTGATGCTCTGTGTGTTTTTTTCTCTCTCTCTCTCTCTCTCTCTCTCTATCTCTCTCTCTATCTCTCTCTCTCTCTCTCTCTCTCTCTCTCTCTCTCTCTCTCTCTCTCTCTCTCTCTCTTTCTCTCTCTCTCTCTCTCTTTCTCTCTCTCTCTCTCTCTTTCTCTCTCTCTTTCCCACTTTCTCCATTTCCAAACTGGAAAAATCAGTGCACAGCTTTGGTTTGCTGAAACACCCCTGAAAACGGAGGGAGACAGGTGTAAGACAGAGCAATTCTTAGAGAGAGTGAGAACAAGAGAGGAGTGAGAGTGTGTGTGTGTGTGTGTGTGTGTTATGGGGGGGGGGGGGTGTAAAGACAGAAATGGGTGGATAAAAACTTGGCATGCCTTAGCACTCATGGGATGGATGGATATGCGTCTTTGATAAGCCAGAGAAGGATGGAGCCGTACCAGAAACAGAGGCAGAGAAAAGGGGAGGAGGGAGGGATGGCTGACTGCTCAGAGTGGAGGGAGGAATATAGCTTGGGGAATTCTGCTACCTTTCTTTCCCTCCCTCTCTGTTTTCCCTCCACCCTCCACTGCCCTTATTTTAACCAGGGACTGTCTGGTAACCAGGGACTGTCTGGTAACCAGGGGCTGTCTGGTAACCAGGGGCTGTCTGGTTGCTAGAGGGAAAACCAGTTGAGAGGAGAGAGATAAGGAGGACGAGAGAGAGAGACTGAAAGAAAGAATAAGAGAATAGAGGAGAGATGAGACAGTAATGTAAGTAAGGGTTGAGGGAAGAACAGGCCAAGAGCAGTACAAAGACGTAAGGTTGCTAGACATTAAGTGAGAGGAGGATGTTGATGAGATTGAAGATGGGAGGATATTGTAGAGAAGAGAGGTGGGGTTGAATTAGATTATTTTCTCTTAGTGATGATGACTTGGTCCTGAATGAGCTTACATTAGATTCAAAGACAAGTGTGATTCTATTGATGTAGCCATCCAGAGCATATAACCTTAAATGCCTCAAAGGAAAAGCCGCTTTCAAAAAGGGTCAGGAGATGAAAGAAAGAAACTGCAGTATCATAAAATGCCTTTGGTCAATGGTCATATCCAGAACAAAATGTGCCTGGGTTGCTTTGGACTTTTGTCTGTCTGTCCTTCATTCTGTTTGTCCTTGGGGTTTTGTCTGCTGTCTGGTTTTTGGAGGGATTGAAATGGATTAGTAGGCTGGATAGCTGAGCCACTGGCTTCTTTTCCTCCAAACAGACATTAGGGGATGCGTCCCAAATGGCACCTTATTCCCTACATAGCATTATGGGCACCGGTCAAAGTAGTGCACTATGTAGGGAACAGGGTGCCATTTGGGACACAGCCGAGGTCAGCCGTATGCCTGCAGCCTACTTGCTGAGTGAGGTAACTGAAGGCCAGCAATAAGTAGTGTGAAAATATCGCCATACAGTTTCTAATGATGAAATGTAAGCAAGTCTATCTTGACTGAGGTTGACCAGTATACATTACATAAACCATGTTACAGTAACAATAGACCAATAGATTAAATAGGCTACAGCACAGTAGGAAGCCGTGTATAAGTTTTGTGGAAAGCTAATTCCCCTACTGGTACCTTGGTGCAGAGGGAGCAGATCTTTCCGAGCTTTGTGCTCACACAATGTTGTATTGTAGGGTTTATGTGGGATTGGGTTCAACACACAAATCAAATCAAATCAAATGTTATTTGTCACATACAGTGAGGGAAAAAAGTATTTGATCCCCTGCTGATTTTGTACGTTTGCCCACTGACAAAGAAATGATCAGTCTATAATTTTAATGGTAGGTTTATTTGAACAGTGAGAGAGAGAATAACAGCAACAAAATCCAGAAAAACACATGTCAAAAATGTTATAACTTGATTTGCATTTTAATGAGGGAAATAAGTATTTGACCCCCTCTCAATCAGAAAGATTTCTGGCTCCCAGGTGTCTTTTATACAGGTAACGAGCTGAGATTAGGAGCACACTCTTAAAGGGAATACTCCTAATCTCAGCTTGTTACCTGTATAAAAGACACCTGTCCACAGAAGCAATCAATCAATCAGATTCCAAACTCTCCACCATGGCCAAGACCAAAGAGCTCTCCAAGGATGTCAGGGTCAAGATTGTAGACCTACACAAGGCTGGAATGGGCTACAAGACCATCGCCAAACAGCTTGGTGAGAAGGTGACAACAGTTGGTGCGATTATTCGCAAATGGAAGAAACACAAAATAACTGTCAATCTCCCTCGGCCTGGGGCTCCATGCAAGATCTCACCTCGTGGAGTTGCAATGATCATGAGAACGGTGAGGAATCAGCCCAGAACTACACGGGAGGATCTTGTCAATGATCTCAAGGCAGCTGGGACCATAGTCACCAAGAAAACAATTGGTAACACAATACGCCGTGAAGGACTGAAATCCTGCAGCACCCTGCAAGGTCCCCCTGCTCAAGAAAGCACATATACAGGCCCGTCTGAAGTTTGCCAATGAACATCTGAATGATTCAGAGGAGAACTGGGTGAAAGTGTTGTGGTCAGATGAGACCAAAATCGAGCTCTTTGGCATCAACTCAACTCGCCGTGTTTAGAGGAGGAGGAATGCTGCCTATGACCCCAAGAACACCATCCCCACCGTCAAACATGGAGGTGGAAACATTATGCTTTGGGGGTGTTTTTCTGCTAAGGGGACAGGACAACTTCACCGCATCAAAGGGACGATGGACGGGGCTCAAATCTTGGGCGAGAACCTCCTTCCCTCAGCCAGGGCATTGAAAATGGGTCGTGGATGGGTATTCCAGCATGACAGTGACCCAAAACACACGGCCAAGGCAACAAAGGAGTGGCTCAAGAAGAAGCACATTAAGGTCCTGGAGTGGCCTAGCCAGTCTCCAGACCTTAATCCCATAGAAAATCTGTGGAGGAAGCTGAAGGTTCGAGTTGCCAAACGTCAGCCTCGAAACCTTAATGACTTGGAGAAGATCTGCAAAGAGGAGTGGAACAAAATCCCTCCTGAGATGTGTGCAAACTTGGTGGCCAACTACAAGAAACGTCTGACCTCTGTGATTGCCAACAAGGGTTTTGCCACCAAGTACTAAGTCATGTTTTGCAGAGGGGTCAAATACTTATTTCCCTCATTAAAATGCAAATCAATTTATAACATTTTTGACATGCGTTTTTCTGGATTTTGTTGTTGTTATTCTGTCTCTCACTGTTCAAATAAACCTACCATTAAAATTATAGACTGATCATGTCTTTGTCAGTGGGAAAACGTACAAAATCAGCAGGGGATCAAATACTTTTTTCCCTCACTGTACCCGTGTTTAGCAGATGTTATTGCGGGTGTAACGAAATGCTTGTGCTTCTAGCGCCGACAGTGCAGTAATATCTAACAAGTAATATCTAACAATTTCACAACATATACCCAATACACACAAATCTAAGTAAGGAATGGAATTTAGGAATATATACATATATGGACAAGCAATGACAGAACGGCATGGACTAAGAGACAGTAGAATATTATAGAATACAGTATACACATATGAGATGAGTAATGCAAGATATGTAAACATTATTAAAGTGACTAGTGTTCCATTTCTTAAAGTGGCCAGTGATTTCAATCTGTCTGTGCTGAGGGATTGTCACCAGTGAGCAGAAGTCATGTCAGATGGGAAGCGGTAGGGGTGCTGCTAGTGAGAGGATGCTGTAATACTGTATGGGAGGGAGATAACATTACTCTGAGGGATGGACATAGTCAAATACCACGGCATGACTGTTGATGTGGGAAGGATAACAAACACAGCCTACTGTATAAGGGGATGAGTGGAAGGAAGTATGTGCGTGTGCGTGCTTGTGCTTGTATGTGTGCATCCGTGCGTGTGTGTGTGTGCGTGTGTACAGCTTCACCCTGCCTAGGCAGAGGGCTAATGCAACAGTATCTCAAGGTAGCTCTTAGAGTAGTTATTTAAAAGGACACTTGAGAAGGCTTGTGTACCTCTGCTCTCGCCTGTCTATTTATTTGTTCTCTCCTCTTTATTAGAAGAGACACTTGAGTGAATCGAAGAGATACAGCCACGAACAAACATTTCAGTCTGTTCATGGGCCTATTTCAAGCAGGGTATAGCAATTGCAGAAACCGATCAAATCAAATCAAATCTGTCACATGCACCGAATACAACAGGTGTAGACCTTACAGTGAAATGCTTACTTGCAAGTCCGTAACCAACAATGCAGTTTGGTTAAGGGCTTGTGAGTGTTTTACTTTGCTACTCTCTGTTTATTATTTACATTTACGTCATTTAGCAGACGCTCTTATCCAGAGCGACTTACAGGAGCAATTAGGGTTAAGTGCCTTGCTTAAGGGCACATCGACAGATTTTTCACCTAGTCGGCTCGGGGATTAGAATCAGCGACCTTTCGTTACTGGCACAACGCTCTTACCCACTAAGCTACCTGCCGCTTTAACTCTACCCACATGTACATATTATGTGACGAGGTGTGAATGAAGGAGTCAGGCGCAGGAGGTAAAACAGAAGACCAGAGTTTATTCCGTTTACATAAATCAAACGCCCAAAGCGTCAAACGAAACTATTACAAGGGAAAACATCCACCTTGGCATAAACACAGTGAATAGTAGCTCAACCGAGCTGCACACTCTCACAACAAACAATCACTCACAAAGACAAGGGGAACAGAGGGAACACTTATACACATACTAATTAGGGGAATGAGCCCCAGGTGTGTGTGATTGACAAGACAAGACATGACAAGTGGAGTGATGAGAATGGGATCGGCAGTAGCTAGTACTCCAGTGACGACGAACGCCGAAGCCTGCCCGAACCAGGAGGGGGGGCAGCCTCGGCGGAAGTCGTGACATATTACCTCAATTACTTCGACTACCCCCTGTATATAGCCTCGTTACTGTTATTTTATTTGACTGCTGCTCTTTAATTATCTATTTTTTACTTAACACTTATTTTTCTTAAAACTGCATTATTGGTTAAGGGCTTGTAAGTAAGCATTTCACTGTTGTATTCAGCACATGTGGCAAATAGCACATGTTATTTTATTTAATGTTACGCATTTTTCTGTACCATGTCTGTGTATTTGTCTGTACTATACGGTATGTGAGTATGTGTTAGACCTGATGTCAATGTTTTCTTGCCATGCACCTGCTTATTCCCCAGGTCTTTGTTGCACAAAGCACATGACTGCTGCCTGCCGATTGGCTGGTGATGATGCAATGCTTTATGGCAGCATAGCTGTTTGGTTTGAGGGCTTTTTGGAAGTAATTGAACCAACTGGGAGTAGCTTTGCATCAATGGGGCGGCAGGTAGCTTAGTGGTTAAGAGTGTTGTGCCAGTAACCGAAAGGTTGCTGGTTCTAATCCCCGAGCCGACTAGGTGAAAAATCTGTCGATGTGCCCTTGAGTAAGGTTTCACTGTTTTTTTTGAGAAGGCAGGGGTTCTCCCAACCAATCACATGGCCTCCTTCCCTCTCTCGGCGTTTGTGATTGGATCCTGCCTAAAGGAATAGCGTGTATCAGGAATCAGTCAGAGTTGCACTACTAAGCTTTGAAGGTCATTAATGATTCAAGGGTTTGAAGATTACATGTGTTTATCAAAGGTCCATGTTTTCATACTAAGATCAGTACAGGGTAGATGTTTATGTCTGTGTATCGTTATGAACGTCTGAATATTTTATTCCGATTTTCCACAGCAGTTCATTTCGATGTATATATTTTTGTATTTTACTAAGCTGTAGGCCTAAGTGTGTTTACAGATCATGAAGAAAGATATCCACATTCCAGTCCTGAAATTAGTTTAATTAAATGTATTAGGCCTGAAATGAATGAATCATATTTGATGATTTTTTGTTGACCATTTCTGTTCTGCCAAGCCATCAAAGCCTATGACCGTTGGATGCACACATACAAGCACGCACACGCACACGCACACGCACATACTTCTATCTATCTATCTATCTATCTATCTATCTATCTATCTATCTATCTATCTCTCTCTCTCTCTCTCTCTCTCTCTCTCTCTCTCTCTCTCTCTCTCTCTCTCTCTCTCTCTCTCTCTCTCTCTCTCTCTCTCTCTCTCACTCTACTCTACTCTGCTCGCAACCAGATGGTTGCTATGTTATTTAGCCAGTACAATTCCAACATAAATTATAGTATCTTTAATAGACTGACCGATTTACTTTACTCATGGTGGATACTTAGACAATGGGTCGACATGTTCAATGGGTTTTTAAATGGAGTGTTAATAGAAAATATATTTTTTACCGTAAGTTACCTTTAAAGCAGTGGAGGCTGCTGAGAGGAGGACGGCTCATAATAATGGCCTGAATAAAGTGAATGGAATGGTATCAAACACATGGTTTTCATGTGTTTTGATACCATTCCATTCACTCCATTTTCAGCCATTACACTCCATTCCAGCCATTATTATGAGCCGTCCTCCCCTCAGCAGCCTCCACTGCCTCAAAGAGCACCTCAGAATAATATTTTTTTCCATGAAACCAGGGAATATATTGAAAGTTACCGGGATTTTGCAACCCAAGTCAAAATACTGCTGGCCCTCCTCTGCTCCTCTGTTGTTAGATTGTGACTCTAACCAGCCCAAACGAATCTACTTATTCATTAGCAATCTTGATAATCATGGCCTTCGATTTAACACAATGTTATTTATCTTTATCTTTATTGGGATCCCAATTAGCTGACGCCATGATGACAGCTAATCTGCCTGGGCTCCATGCACACAACAAAACATACTTGACAATTTTATATTGAAAGACTGTAACACAATTGACGGTAGTAGACAATACAAACATTTGACATGTAGACATTACAGACATCAGTGCTCGATTGGTCTGGTCAGGGTAGTTTGTTCAATTGCAGTTATAAAGTTAGCATAGCTTAGGGGAGTTGATAAACTACCTTAAAGCATTATGCTGATTTATGTATTTTGGTTCATTCACTCATCCTATTCCCACATCTCCATCTTATTACCAGAGACAAAACATATTTTAGTAGTAGCCTAATCAGTCTCTGAGTTACAGAAGGGTCAGATGTGTCCAATCCTGTCTGCTCTCTTCTGCTGTCAGCATGGTGATTGGCTGCTCCCTGTTGCCACGAAGACGGCGTGGTGTGGTGTAAGTGGTGCAGACAGGGCTCTTTGGTAATCACATGACTGGGGTGTTCTCTGTTGGGTGCTTTGAATTTACACTCTGTTGCTTTCCAATTTCTTTCCAAGTGTTGTAAGATTCTGCTGGTTTCTCCCTAAATGACTGTTTTTGTTCAACAGTCTGAGGGGTTAAGTACCTCGCGCATGGCTGGAGACACTAATACTAATACCAGCAATCCTCCATACACCTTTTTACCTTTCCCATGGTTTCGTTTGTGCCAGAATTTGATTGTATGTATTCGTGAGGAAGAGTCGAGCTTGAGCTTGAATGTACAAACTAGACTCATACGAATATACACCATCTTTTTTGTTTGTGTCATCCTGCTTAGTGAAATAGATAGCGTACTTGTAAGTATAGTAAGAACCACTAGCATCGTTGTGATTGGAGTAGAATCCAACCCATGAGTAATGGAAATCAGTGTTCCAATCGGTGAAGGCCTTATTGATGAACAGGCGAGCGCAAGCGCAGCCGTCTTTAGTGTAGAGCTGCAGACTGGCAGTACCCTCATACCCCTTTATGTCAACAGGAACCTTTCTGTCTGCGTCATCATACTGAGGTCCGCTCATGAAGACCTTTGACCCATCCTTGGACTGGAGCTTGACCTGTAGGCCGTGGTTAAGGTACTGGTTGGTGTCATAGGTTCCGTAGCTGCGCTTGTCAAGAGGGAGAGATAAGAGATTCTCTCCATTGTTATTAAAGAGTGCCAGCATCACCTCCACATCCAGCAGGCTGTCAGGGACTTTAGCCCATCTGAGCCGGGCGTACCCACTTTATGTGGATTTCACCTGGAGCTCAACAGCATAGCGCTCTGTGTGGTGGTCATTCACCACTGCCCATTTCATTATAGCAGTTGACTCATTTAGAGTAATTCTGCCTGCGTCTTCATCCTTGTTTGTGCTATCAGTGGTGAAGCAGGTCTGTGTGAAGGATCTGGATTTTACGTTATAGCCGGCAGTGGACAGAAACACGTTCACACTGTCCACCCAGTTTTGCGAGAGGGTCCTGATCTCCCTCAGGAGGGCGGGCTGATCTGGTAGGTGTTATCGGGATCATACCCACTGCCTCTTAGATAGTGCTGTGTTATGTAGACTGCCTCTAACAGTGGACTGTTGGGGCTTGTTCTGACAACTACCCTGTCCCTGTTCCTCTCTAAGTTTCCTGGGGCAAGGTAATAGCTGCGAGTGACATAAGGATGGAGTGGGTATGCTCCAAGGTGTTGATATTCCCGACTGCGTAGTAACCCTGTCTGTTCTGATCTTGCAGTGGTGGAAAAACTTGTTCATAGTTATTAAAGTGATGGAAGCCCCAGTCTCCCGTTTCTGGCACAAACGTTGGTATGAGTGCATCGTTGTTATCGATGTATAGGTCGCCAGAAACAAAGTGTAGCAGCATTAGGCCATGACGAGGGAATCTGTGGCCAAACTCGATGTTCCTGAGGTTTTTTATTGAGTTAAGGACACGTATGTCTGCAGAAACTAAGGCCAGTGGTAGCAACAAAAAGAAGCAAATCAAGGTTTTTCTCTCCATGGTAATCCTGTGAGAGAGAGACAGACTGTACCATGGCAGTAGTACCTCAAGTCTTGACAACAACCATTTTTTTGCTACTGTAGCATTGGCTAGCGCTAGTCATCTGTATCTGCGCCAAAACTCCAGTGTTTTTCCTTCATAGCTTGTGTCACATGCGTCAATTCATTGTGATTAGTTCCAGGTTCTTCTTGTGAGTGTGGGGCGGAGTTTTGTGTATAAATGTCCGGTGTTCTCCCTGTGTCCAGCAGGTCCCTTTTTATCCATGCACAGGTTGGCGTGCTCTGGAAGGACGAGAGCGGGGACATGTGGCCTAATCCAAATTCAGTGGAACTTTGTAAGTGTGCTTGCAGCTGAGTGCCCATCTCCTTCCAGATCCACTCTTTGTCTTCCTGAGCACTCCTTCCTAAACTAAATGCACTTCTGTAGTTATTGCCATTTATTGTAAAACTAACGTTGAATAGTATCATTGGACAGCTTGTTGTATGAGCGACAGTGCCAAAACTATGTTTTGTGTGTGTGGAGCGCTCCATTGACTATTGGATATTAATCTGTTGATTTATGGCTGCTATATATTATTGCCTTGATACAGAAAATAAACAGAAGCTTTCTATTGCAGTATCTCACTGTCATTTCCATGCTCCATGGTTCACCTTTTTACACTTGAGCAGAGTGTAAAAAAGGTTGCTTTCCCCTGCTCAAACGTTGCATGAAGCAACCAACGGTTGCGTCCCACGTCATCAACTTTGCCGTCGGGCACCAGATTGCTATAACATTGATGTGATTAGCTGATATGTAAAATACCTCTCCAGGCGTTGTAAGATCTGGCATGCGTCAGCAATGCTTGAAGGCAATTTGACGGTAACAGAGTGACGCTGAGACTCACTATTTCACTTTTAAAATGTATGCCAAGCAAAAACCATTGATTGCCAAGTTAAACAAACCATACACCTAAATCTCCCTCAGTTTATGTGACCACGTTTTCCAAAAACTCTGTTAAATATCTACTCTGAATTAAGATTCAAAGATGTCTGCAGAAAGAATGGTGTGTCAGCTATGATATAACACCTTGAGTTTGAATGAATCTATTTTGGTTATTGAACTACAGTAAATGAAGTGGATCAACACCCGGTAACAGAATGATGGTAACAGAATGACATTATGGGTCCCTGATCTGTACTATCCAGAAATGCTTAATTATGAATGACATTCACTTCATGGTGATGTATCTTGAATAAGTACATAAATTAATATCGTCCTTTGCATGTTTGGGTATTATTCTACACACTGGCTATTATTCTAATGAGCTCCATCCCCAAGCAAGACCATATTTGGTTGGTTCAGACTGAACCAAATCTGTACCAATCATAGACGTCTGTGTTCACAAGTTTTGATATCACAGTACAGCACAGTAGAGCATAGTATAGTACAGCACAGCAGAGTAGAGTACAGCACAGCACAGCAGAGTAGAGTAGGGTTCAGTAAAGTAAAATAAAGTAGATTACAGTAGAGTACAGTAGAGTACAGTACAGTATAATACAGCACAGTAAAGAAAAGTACAGTAGAATACACTACAGTCCAGTAGAGTATATTACATTATACTGTAGTCTACTCATGTGTTCCCTACTGTACTGTACTGAACTTTACTCTACTGTACTCTACTGTTCTGAACTATACTCTACTTTTCTTTACTGTACTGTACTCCACGGTGCTGTGCTGTACTGTTCTTTACAGCGACTGTGGTTTGTGTCTACTATGATTTCCCATTGTGGCCAATTAAATTGAAGCTATTCTGTCACAGATTTGTTGGTCAGTCTGTTACTGATTTGGTAACAGAGTGACACCTTTTTATCATTTAATAATTTATAAACAAAATTGATATCAGTAAAAACACTATAACTAATTGGTAGGTCTACCTTTACTTGTTATTTGTGTGAACTTTCATAATCCTCCCTCATGAGGGAGAGATTAGAAAATGTCTTAAAGATATGTGGGTTTTTGGTAACAGAATGACAAGACACAAGGCAATATTTCTTAAACTTACAGAAGGCAAAACATTTCTGAAAAACGAAATATTAATGTTGATATTACAGTGGGGAAAAAGTATTTAGTCAGCCACCAATTGTGCAAGTTCTCCCACTTAAAAAGATGAGAGAGGCCTGTAATTTTCATCATAGGTACACGTCAACTATGACAGACAAAATGAGATTTTTTTTCTCCAGAAAATCACATTGTTGAATTCTTAATGAATTGATTTGCAAATTATGGTGGAAAATAAGTATTCTCAATACTTTGTTATATACCCTTTGTTGGCAATGACACAGGTCAAACGTTTTCTGTAAGTCTTCACAAGGTTTTCACACACTGTTGCTGGTATTTTGGCCCATTCCTCCATGCAGATCTCCTCTAGAGCAGTGATGTTTTGGGACTGTCGCTGGGCAACACAGACTTTCAACTCCCTCCAAAGATTTTCTATGGGGTTGAGATCTGGAGACTGGCTAGGCCACTCCAGGACCTTGAAATGCTTCTTACGAAGCCACTCCTTCGTTGCCCGGGCGGTGTGTTTGGGATCATTGTCATGCTGAAAGACCCAGCCACGTTTCATCTTCAATGCCCTTGCTGATGGAAAGAGTTTTTCACTCAAAATCTCACGATACATGGCCCCATTCATTCTTTCCTTTACACGGATCAGTCGTCCTGGTCCCTTTGCAGAAAAACAGCCCCAAAGCATGATGTTTCCACACCCATGCTTCACAGTAGGTATGGTGTTCTTTGGATGCAACTCAGCATTCTTTGTCCTCCAAACACAACGAGTTGAGTTTTTACCAAAAAGTTCTATTTTGGTTTCATCTGACCATATGACATTCTCCCAATCCTCTTCTGGATCATCCAAATGCACTCTAGCAAACTTCAGATGGGCCTGGACATGTACTGGCTTAAGCAGGGGGACACGTTTGGCACTGCAGGATTTGAGTCCCTGGCGGCGTAGTGTGTTACTGATGGTAGGCTTTGTTACTTTGGTCCCAGCTCTCTGCAGGTCATTCACTAGGTCCCCCCCGTGTGGTTCTGGGATTTTTGCTCACCGTTCTTGTGATCATTTTGACCCCACGGGGTGAGATCTTGCCCCAGATCGAGGGAGATTATCAGTGGTCTTGTATGTCTTCCATTTCCTAATAATTGCTCCCACAGTTGATTTCTTCAAACCAAGCTGCTTACCTATTGCAGATTCAGTCTTCCCAGCCTGGTGCAGGTCTACAATTTTGTTTCTGGTGTCCTTTGACAGCTCTTTGGTCTTGGCCATAGTGGAGTTTGGAGTGTGACTGTTTGAGGTTGTGGACAGGTGTCTTTTATACTGATAACAAGTTCAAACAGGTGCCATTAATACAGGTAACGAGTGGAGGACAGAGGAGCCTCTTAAAGAAGAAGTTACAGGTCTGTGAGAGCCAGAAATCTTGCTGGTTTGTAGGTGACCAAAAACTTATTTTCCACCATAATTTGCAAATAAATTCATAAAAAATCCTACAATGTGATTTTCTGGATTTTTTTTTCTCAATTTGTCTGTCATAGTTGACGTGTACCTATGATGAAAATTACAGGCCTCTCTCATCTTTTTAAGTGGGAGAACTTGCACAATTGGTGGCTGACTAAATAATTTTTTCCCCCCACTGTAGTTGGCAGGGACCTTTACTTCAACATGATTGTGTTTCGATGTATTTCTAATACCTTTTAAGAATTTTTCTAGCAGATGTTTCTTTAGACCACTTTTCCATTTGTGTGACCAGATATCAAAGCCATTGCTTATTCCACAATTTTAGGATTGAAAATGGTTGAAAATCGTGTCTATGCCTTAATTTCCCAAAAATATAGACTCAGCTTTCATTTGACATTAAATGATATATGCTCCTATAAACTTCAAATGTTGGTGCTCATGTGTCCTTTTACATGGAAATTACCCTGAGCAGGGGAACACGACCAAGGTGTCTTCCCAGAGTAGCTAGCATTAGCTAGCTTCTAACTATTGGATGCAGCCACAAAATGTTTGACACCACTCAAGTTAATAACTACATTTCTCAACAGATTTTTTTGTGTGGACATGTACTGGAACTGCTTATGGTGGTGGAACCTCCGAGGTGGTTAGCTGGGGTTAGTGAAGGCTTGTGCTCATCAGTGTTTGATTGTGTGTTCTCTTCACCTCTGGTAATTGGTTTGATATTGACACTATCAAACATTTAAGATTGGCTGCATGTCAAAAGGTGTCAGAGAAAGTTGAGAGAGAGTATAGATGAATCATTAATGAACTTAGTTGCCACATCTGAGTGGGATAGAACCTGATTGATATAATGCATTTCAACATGGAGGTCAGCCGATATCCCCGCAAAGCAGGGATGTGTTGGCTGCTGAATCAAGAAGGAAATGGGAAACTTTTAAAAGGAAAGAACCAATCAGATACACATTTCAGAGAGTGTGTGAGAGAGAGCGAGAGAGAGAGAGACAGAGAGAGATAAGGTGGTGCTGGGAAGCGGAATGAGGAAAAGGTAATGAGTCTCATTATTCTCCCTTAGTTTGACAGACCACCTCCCTCTTCTGTTCTTCTCCCTTCACCTCTATCCTCTGCAGTTTACCACACTCTTAGAAAAATGGGTTCCAAAAGGGTTCTTCGGCTGTCCCCATAAGAGAACCCTTTTTAGTTTCAGGTAGAACCCTTTTGGGTTCGATGTAGAACCCTCTGTGGAAAGGGTTCGGTTAGGAATCGAATTAATGTGATTAATTCAAATGTATGACTCCAAATGCCTGTATCACAAGAATCAATGATTTTTTTGTTTGTTTTTATGAGCATTTTGTCCTCTTGTTCGCATGTTGTCTTTTTGGTCTCATCTCCTTCACTCCCTTTGTGCTGTAAAGCACCTTCCCATTTAAACACACACACTATGTCTCAATTCCTCAAATTGCGGGCAAAGCAGACATTACTAAAACGGGAGTATCAATGAACATTGATTCTGGAA